GGATCGCGGGGCCCGTGGTGAGCGGGGCCGGGGCGCACGCGGGGCCGTCCCGCGCCGGAGCTGGGGCGCAGGAGGGAGGGGGATCGGCACCGGGTTGGTGCCCTCCCCCGGCCCCGTCCTATCCCATCCCATCGCTTCCTCTAAGCACGGGCTCTCTCTCTAAAAGAGGCCTGGCTCCCTTCCTTAGAAAGGCAGGGGCTAATTAACCCCCATTAACCCCCGGCCTTGGTGGGGATGGCGGCGACTTGCACCCTTTCCCCCCCAAAGCAACCGTGGGGGCCGCTCATCAGCGCGAGCCTGGCGTGACTTAGAAGAGCAGGGCTGGCTCGGGACGGGCCCTGGAAATCCTCCGCGCTTGGTTCCTTTTTGTGTTCGAGCGGTAGCACTTGGAGATGTGTCACGGCCGTTTGCTCCGGTGGCTGCCTAACGATCCCCCTTCCAGGACACCGCTCGGAGGCTCATAATTGGAGAAGGGAAAGAAAAATCAAAGTTCGGGTTACTGCTGCGTCCAGAGGTCAAACTGGGGCTAAGGGTGTCCCGGCAGGAGAGGGGCTGCCACGCTGCTTTCTTGGACCACGGCAGAAATTCAGCCTGTGGCTGCCAGCGCAGCTGTGCCAGGGACCCGGCTCCGGGCTGCCAGCCGCGTGCGCGTGCGTGTGCATGTGCATTCGGGGCGGGCGGTGTTTATTGCTCAGTGGTAGCAGCTGGAGCGCAGTGGCAACTGCCGACTGCAAAGGAGCAGGCTAAACTTAGCATGAAGCGCTAAACTCCTTACGGGATCCATTTGAAATGATCGCTGTGGGAACGCCAAGGCTGCTTCTCCTCGGGTAATGTCCCTCACGCACGTCCTCATTCCTTTCCCTTTGCTAACACCCTTGCGACTCCAAAGTCTGCCCGTACCTGGCCCGCTTGGCAGCTGCCGCTGCATGCCCCTCGTTGCAGGCCCATAGGACTTGTCCGCACTTGAGAGTTTGTTTGCATTTCAGACAGCCAGAATGACTCCAGAGCAGCTGTGTTTCCCGGGAAGAAAAAAAAAAAGGCTTTGTTCCTGTTCAATTTAACCCACTTCAAAAAGAAAAAAAAGGGGGGGGGAAGGAAGGGGTCAGTCCTTCCTTTTGCCTGATTGTTAAGATGGGGAGAACCAGACCCTGCTCCCAAGACTCCCAGTAAGTTTGTACAACATCCAGCACAGCAGGGTTCCCATAATACAAACCAAAAGCCATCTCGGAGCTGGGGCCTGCCTGAAACTGCGTTTTTTGATATTTAATTTTTTGAAATGTTGTGTTCGAGGCCAAATCGGAGCCAAAGTCTCTCAACTGAGCAGAGCTCAATCATTCTGGTCTGTGTGGCGCTACCACCGGCAAGTATCCTACCTCCCAGGTGCTTCAGATACTCCCAGATCCATGGCAGGCATCTTTCCCTGGAGGGTTTGGGGTTTGAATGCCCCCTGGTCTCACTTACCCATAGCCAAAAGGCCAAAGGAGCAAGCTAGAGGGAAAGCTGGAGAGCCATCCCCCCTCACCATAAACCATCTTGAACCCAAAATCTGAACCTGGAGCTCGTGATGCATCAGTCTTCCTGGCCATGCCGGCCTTACTCTGGCATGGTTATCCCCTCTTCACATTTCCTTCCATTTCCCTCCCAGTTCCTGACCCAGCTCCTGGTCTTTCTGATCGGCGTGGTCAGCTCCATATTCTGTGGCCATCTGGGGAAAGCCGAGCTGGATGCCGTGACGCTCGCCGTGTCCGTACGTATGGTTCTGTTGCTTTTAATGCTGGAGTTGTAACTCGGCCCACCTGGGAGCACCGTTGGCTATAATGTTAACCATGCGTGTCGTCTCCAGGGATAACACCTTACTGCAGATGCTGCTGCTGGGTGCTATCCCTGCAGTTCCAGCCGCTGATACCAGGGAGGGTAGAACGGTGGTGGTGGGGAGCCAGGTTAGGTATTTATCCCAAAGTCTGTTCCCTCCAACTTCAAGTCACGCCACCGTGTCCTTTATAGAGCCCTGCCAGAACAGCGGGTGGGTGCAGAGAGTCCTCTCGAAGCCTTTGCTACTTTAGACGATGGGAACTTTGAAGTGGAAGAGGGGGGAGATGCTATATAAAGTGGCCTTAATGGACATTACTTGGAGGTGGGGGGGAAAGGGACACTTCCAGGCACCGAGACCAGCTCGGCAGCGTCACCCAGTGGCCACACACACCCACACACCGCTGCAGGTGGCTGGCTTTCCTCTCCTCGAGTTACTTCCCTCCCTCCATGTTTCTTTTCCAGGTCATCAACGTCACTGGCATCTCCATCGGCTCTGGCTTAGCCTCAGCATGTGACACCCTCATGTCGCAGGTAGGTAACAGTCCTGTGGCTTCCCTTCTTTCTCCTGCCCCTGGGTCTCGAGCCTGGGAAGCTCTGTCTTGGGGTAAGAAGGCTGAGAACTGAATTCATCAGCATCTGACCCTCCTATTTGGATGCAGACCTTGGCTTGGCAAGGCAGCAGGACCTTGCCCTCTGAGCACCTTTGTCTCTGCTCATCTCCACCACTGCCTGGACCTGGGGAGGGGGAAAGGAAAGCTGACTGGCCATATCGTACCCAGGGGAGGGGGTGCTAGAAAGTCGCGTGCTGCCTCAACCCCATTCACTTCGCCCTCTTTAATCGCCCGCCGTTGCTTCCCGCTGACCAGAGCGCAAAGCCGCTGCGTAAGTGCCGCTGGTAACTCATGCCTCTGCTTCTTCCTCAGACGTACGGCAGCAAGAACTTGAAGCAGGTGGGCACCATCCTGCAGCGCGGCATCCTCATCCTCTTGCTCTGCTGCTTCCCCTGCTGGGCTGTCTTCATCAACACCGAGAAGATCCTGCTCCTCTTCAAACAGGACCCAGACGTCTCCAGGTCTGGCAGCAGATCCCATCTCACGCCTGCTCCGATTTGGTCCCTTCTAGTGCAGACAGCAGGTCCGTCTGGGACTGAAGCGTCCCCGCTAGGCCTGCAGGAGACCCTGTGAGCCAAGAGCAGGCAGCGGGAGCAGTGTTAGGTGTTAAAGAGCCAGTATTAAGTCCCTAGTAGAAGCTAAGAGCTGACCAGGACTTCATGCCCCACCGTCTGCCTTTGGTCCCTCTGGGTCATGAGTCATGACTGAGTCAGGCTGGTGGACCGGTGAGGCAAGGGAGAGCACGCTGTGCGGTATGCACCCTATGAAGAGGATGGTGATTGCTAAAGATTTGCTCCAGCGCTGTACTGAGAGAGACCTCCATGGACTTAATTTCTGAGGCTCTTGCCTACAACATCTATCCCCTCCATGTCCCCCCAGGCAGGGATTGAGGGTGCGGCTGAGAAATGCCCTTCATTTAAGGCCAAGTGGATTCTTGACGGCAGATGTGCTTGGTTTGGCTCTTCCATTACTGTGTTATTCATTGGGTGGGAACCTATTGCCTTTTTTTTTTTTTCTCCAGGTTAACCCAGGTTTATGTGATGATCTTCATCCCAGCTCTTCCTGTAAGTCGCCACTAAGGTTACGCTGCTTTTGTCTCGGGGTAACGTGAGGATGCCATTGCTCTATATACAATGACATTTAATCTCGATGCAGCCTGCCAGAAGCTACAGCGCCCAACATGCAGCTGCCCTTGTAGCCCCTCTAATTGTCATTGCGTGCTGGTATCTGGAGAACGTTCAGCGGTTTGCTTTTCATTCCTAATGTTACGGGCTCAGCCAGCGGTCACTAGTGAACAAAACAAGCCTCAGAGTAGCAAGCTCCTGGTGCTAATTTGTCCAGTGCAGGCAGGGAGCCTGCGGGCTGGGGGCAACTGGCTTTCTGTGACAGTAAAACTAACTGGCTGCTGCACCTGGTCACCAGTGGTTTCCCCAGGACTTTGCCTGGTTACGGCAAGAAGCATGCTACGGGGAGACCCGCGCATGGTTAAGGCAGCTCTAATGAAATGTCATCTGACTGTTTTTCAGGCGGCGTTTATGTACCAGCTGCAGACAAAATATCTGCAAAGCCAGGTATTGTGGGATTATTTGGGCTGTGGATTTGAGTTTCCTTGAAGGTCCTTGTTAAAGCAGGAGACCTGAGTTCATCCCCTCCCTGTGGAGGCTGGGAGGAGAAGCATTGCACAGCAAATGCACCTTGCATCAGCTCCTGGGAGTATGGGGAGCACATTACCTTTCAGCCCACCCCATCCCCTTCCAAGACGGGAACAGCTCTGGGTGCTCCAGGGGAGCTGGTCAGATCTCTTTGGCTGCCAAAATGAGGCGGCCCAGTGCATGGCCTGGAGTGGGTGATGGGAAACCCCTGCCTATAGACACTCCACACTAACATGCATTTTTGTGACATGCTGGAGCTGGATGGAAACTTTGCTGGAGCAGAGATTAATCTCCTGCCTGGCCTTCTCCTGGAGGCTTGATTTCCCGAGACTAGCCGTTGGAAGCAGTGCCTGGGTTCCTTCCTGGCCAAGGGGCTGTGTCTGGCTGTGCTGCTGGGGAAGTGCCTCCTAAGGTCTCGTCTTTGTTTTCAGGCCATCATCTTGCCACAGGTGGTGACAGGGGTTGCAGCCAATATCCTCAATGTGGGCATGAACGCCCTGTTCCTGTATGCGATGAAGCTGGGAGTGGTGTAAGTCTGAGCAGGCAGAGCCATGGGTAGCCACTCCGTGAGGTTTAGCAGAGATCTGGGGGCTTGTCAGACCCAGGGCCACGGCTGCTCTTCTCTTGCAGATGCTCCCTGACTTCATAGCTGTAGGTCTGCCCTGGGGTGCTGCCAGCCTTTGGAGTGGGGAAGGGTTGAACCCTCTGAGTGGAGAACGGAGTATCCGTTTGGGAGGGTGCAGGCAGCCTGGCTGGTGCAAAGGCATACGTGCTCCTAGCAGCCAGGGGTGGAGGAGACACCAGTGCAAGGGAAGGAGGGGAAGTGCCACATGTGACCAACCTGCTTCTCCCTGCAGGGGCTCTGCCTGGGCCAACACGGTTTCTCGGTACACCCAGATGATTCTCCTCTTCTTGTACATGCGGTGGAGGAAAATCCATGCACGGACCTGGGGAGGTAGAGTATGTCTCTGTCCAGTTCCTACATTACTTGGCTGATCCTGCGATGGGTGGATGCCCAGGCACTGGCTTCTGTAGGATCCAGCCCTGTAGCGTGGATACAGTGGATATCCTCAGGTAGCAGCTCCTGTCTCCCTGAATGAGACAAATCCTAAGTGCTTAGGATATGGGTGGTGCCTTAGCTCAAGCCTGACCTGGGATGCAAGCTCATTCTTGGCCATCTTATACCAGTGCATGCACTGACGACTGATAGGGCTGGGCTTTGGCCCCTGGGATGCTGCCTTGTGCCATGGTTTCTGCAGGCTGCACCCTGCTACAGCTCACAGCATCCTGTGTGGGTCAGGAGAGGCATCTGCTTCCTCCTGATTGATTGCTGCCTTGCTACAGGCTGGACCTGGGAGTGTCTGCTGGAGTGGGGCTCCTTCATGCGGTTGGCTGTGCCCAGCATGCTTATGATGTGCATTGAGTGGTGGACCTTCGAGATCGGGAGCTTCCTGGCAGGTGAGTTGGCAGAGTCCCGTGCAAATGCCCTCTCCCTTCTCTGCTCCCACGGAGGTCTCCTAGTGCTGGCGACCCTCACGCCTTGCTGAGCAGACCTGCATGGTGTCTCTGGCCTGCAGTCCCCCCCTGGATACTGTGGGTGGGTCCTACAGGGCTCCCTGCTTCTGCCAAACCAAAGCCCCCTTCTCCTTCCCCTTCCCCCTGCCAGGAACGACGCTAATTGTAGTGATGGTTAAAAGTTGGCTGTGGCAATTCCCTTCTAGGTCTGATCAGCGTGGTGGAACTAGGGGCTCAGTCTGTCATCTATGAATTGTCCAATGCTGCATATATGGTAAGAGCTCAGACCTGCTTGCAAGGAGTAGAAGCACGGAGAGCGGAAGAGGTTCCCAGGCAGCCTAAGGATGTGGGCTGGGGTGTTCATGGTGCCAGACTACGCTCCATTTTCCTGCTAGGGCATAGCCAGACTGCAGTAGGGCACTGCCTGCCCCTGTATGCTTGGAGCATGGATGAGCAGATCGCTACTCGCGCTCTGTCCAACCTTCCCCTCCTTCCTGCCCAGGTGCCCCTAGGCTTCAGCGTGGCTGCCAGCGTCCGCGTGGGCAATGCCTTAGGATCGGGGGATGCAGAGCAAGCGAGGACATCCTGTATCTCTGCGCTGCTGTGTACAGGTGGGACCATTCCTCTAGCTAGTGCCTGCTGGCCTGATCTACCCTGCAAGAATTTCCCTTCCCTAAATTCTTGGGTGGCTTAAGGCAAAAATGCCTGAAGGGCCCCATGAACAGTGGGGCTCTGTGTGGGGCATTTTCGCCCCGGCAGTGATGGTCCCTCCAGCAGAGATCATGATCCCAAGCAGCACAGGAGAGGAGCAGAACGTGGGCCCTGTGTTAATCCAACTGCCTGGCTCTTTCAGGAGTGTTGGGTGTAGTGGTGGCCACCTTGTTGGGGACCCTGAAGGACGTTGTGGGCTACATCTTCACCACTGACAAGTGAGTCATCCAAGTCCATTCAGGACAATTCTTTACCTCTTTCAAAGAGCTGTTCCACGCATGTAGGGAATTCGTGCTATTCAGTCACAGTCCAGAAGGGACATCGCAGTGCCAGTAACTAAGGAGCTGGCCCAAAGCCCATCGATTTCCCATGGACTTCACTGGGCCTGTGTGTGGCAACAAGCAACAGAACTAGAGTTCATTCCTCCCTCGTAGTCAGGCCGCCCCACTTCCCCACAACCCTAAGTGACAGCCACATGGCTTTCTCCCAACAGAGAGATCGTTACCTTGGTGTCTAAGGTGATGCTGCTCTTTGCTCCCTGTCACTTGTTTGATGCGACGGCGGTGAGTATTTCCGTGCACCCGGCAACCTCCTCTGCGAGCTTGACCGCAGTCACGTTGCTTATTCAGCGGTCTTGGTTCCTCTGACTCTTGCAATCTGCCAAAACACAAGTTTAATACGCTATGCAGTCACGGTGCAGCTGAAAGTAGCGGCCGGTGATATTCTGGAGCAGTCTCAAACTCCGTAGTGGTTGCAGCTACCACCAAGGCACCCCAGATCTCACCATTATGGGTTAATAATCTGTGGTCAAAATCACAGTCCAAAATTGAGTGGCTAATGTTGGGAATCAAGGCGCCGAGACACCCAGCTTGGTGTTCAGAGGAGCTGGCTGTCCTCCAACACCCACAGCACCTGGGTACGACCTTCTGCCTGCTACTCGGTTTATACCTAGTGATATCCTGCCCCATGGATGGGCTGCAGGGGGGACGGACACCATCACAGCAGTGTAGCTGAATCTCACGCGCACATGCACGTGCTCACGTACAGCCACTAAGGACACAGTCGCACAAGTTGTTGCGAACGGAGGAGAGCAGGGTTTTATGGCGTGCTGGCAGCTCTGCAGTAACTGCCCAGGTGCTCACACTTACAAACGAAAGTCAGGCTGCATCCCACCCCCCATGAACGAGCCATAAGCAACCACGCTTTAGCACTCAGATAGAGGGGAGAAAAGCAAGTACACAGGCAGCTGAAAGGGATGTGGGTGCACAAATCAGCTGCTCCACCTCTTGGTATCTGGGTGGCTTTAGCTTCTAGGCATCAATCATCTACTCTGCATACTGGAGTAGCAAGGACCCTTCTATCATATAACTCTTGGGAGGGAGACTGAACAGGACTTGAATTGAGGCTGGCTTCATGGGCTAATGCAGCAGCCTCAGCCCATCTTAAATTGTCTCAAAGCTGCACTTTCCCCACCAGGGCTGCGTTGCTGCCTGCCAGGTGCGGCAGGAGCTGCTGTGCTGCGCACTGACTCTGCTCTCTGTCCTCGTAGGCGACCTGCGGTGGTGTGCTGAGGGGGACGGGGAAGCAGAAGTTCGGGGCCATTGCCAACGCCATCGGATATTACGCCATCGGGTTCCCGCTGGGAATCTCACTGATGTTCGCCGCAAAGCTTGGGGTGCTGGGTACGTGCGCTGTGAGCAGGCGCGGTGCTGAACATCCGACACGTATGGGCCACTGCTCATGGCAGGGTGAAATCCTGGCCCTGGTGAAGTCAGGGCAGCCGTTTCTACTGGCTGCGGTGCAGGGAGAACCTGCTGTTGTAGGTGTACGCTGACCAGAGCCCTGTTTCAGCAAACCATGCACTTCGGCTTTGCTGGCTCCCAGAAGGCTCAAGCCTGGGCTAGAGCATTTAGCTGAACGTGGGCTCAAATAAGCATCTGCTTTCAATAAGAGCGTGGAGTAGATAGCAGTGTAACTCCAGCATACGGATGGGGGCTTCAGTCCAGCGCCTCAGGGAACAGACAGCAAAGCAGATTTTGCTGTTGCCTCTGTACATACAGCATGAACCACCTTAGAAAACCAGCTATGTCCATGTGGTTGCAGTGATGTGAATTCACTGGAGTTACTCTGGGTTGCACCTGGTAACCGAGCAGGACACGGCATGGTGTCTGTCCTGTGACAAATGCACCACGACTTGGGCCCAAGTATAGCTGCAAGCGGGATCAGCCAAAGGGTTTTCAAGGTTGCCGATGGGAATCCACGTCTGCTGGACAACAAGGTCCATGACGGGGCTTGATCAGGACTTGTGCGTCTCTAGTTTGGGAACAGAGTCCCAAGAAGTTAAATAGCTGCAGAGTGAAATCCAGATCCCAGGGAAGGCCAGGGGATCTGGCTGAGCTGGACTCGGGTGCAAGGACCTCCATCAGGGGCCTTCAGATAACTGACCCCGATTTCCCTTTGTTCCAGGCCTATGGGTGGGACTGATCGTCTGCATTGCTCTGCAGGCCACTTCCTTCTTCATCTACGTCCTGCGCATAGACTGGAAGAAAGCTGCAGAGGAGGTAAGGCTCTTGCAGCCCACTAGTCTCGTCCAGAGGCTTTGGGCCGGCCCCTGAGCCAGTGCCGCATTGCAGAGCTCTGCGGGCGCGCAGTGTTGTGAAAGCACAGTCTGTCTCTTCCTCTTCCCTGCTTGAAGAAGTGTGTTTTGCTGGGCGTGAGCATATGCAGTTCACACCTTAAACTGAAGGAGTCAGCAGAAGGGCCTGGGTTCAGAGGCACTCGCTGGTTGTGATCCAGCTGAGGAGTGAAAAGCAGAGCTGGCAAAGCCAGGTCGTGGCCCACACAGCTGCCCTGTTCAGGGTGGGGCAGGATTGATCCCTGCGGAGGGTGCTGCAGCCGAGGGCCTGTGCCCCGGGAAAGGAAGCATCTTGTGCGCTCGGAGAGCAGGAGGCCGGATCTCTTGCCCCAGTCGGTGGAGCTGGGAGCGCGTTGTGTTCCCAGCTTAGCCGGACCCTCGCTGGCTGCAATCCGCTGCTCCATTTGGGATGGGTTTTGATGGCGTGCCCGGGCGACAGGGAGAATCTGACCCTGTTCTCTGTTTCAGGCTCAAATCCGGGCAGGCCTCAAAGTGGAAGCAGAGATCCCGGGCACCAGCAGCTCTGCGGTTCGTTTGTCTGGTCTTGGTATGTGGCTGTGGGCCGGAGTCGTACACGCGGTGCCCCGAGCTCTGGAAACGCTCCCGGGCAGGGTGTGGGGAGAGGAGGAGTGCTGCGTGGGAGCTGCTCTGGCTGGCCCGTGCCTGTAGGCTCTGCCCTTGCAGCAATGTGGCCTTCAGTGGCTGCGGGGCCCCAAACGGACCCCAGGTAGCACTGACTGCCCCGAGCTGGCCAGCAGAACTGGCCTGGGACCGCTGCCCTTCGCCCCTGCAGCTGGCCGTACAGCTCGGCCCAGGCCTCACATGTAACACTGACCCGTCTGCTCCCCAGACTATTTCACGGCCGAGACAGAAGTGCCGGACACTGTGGTTCTGCCCGCTGCCACCTCCAGCAGCGAGAGCCTGCCGGAGCCCCAGCTCATCCCCGGAGAGGAAGCTGCCGGGCCCCTCGCTCTGCCAGGAGGCAGCATCTCGCTGGGGAAGGGCCTGCTCCTCTGGCGCGGGCTGGCGCTGGCTGTTGCCATTGCAGTCCTGCTGGCGGGGGTCCTAGTGCGGCTCCTGATGGGCAACGGCTAAGCATAGCCACCGGGGCCAGAGACGTGACTGCTGGGGCTGGGGAACGGCTCCGTGGGCAGCCGTTCTGGAGCGCCACAGGAAGGAGTGGCTGAGATGCTCCTCCATCCTGGCCCATCTCTTGGGGTCCATGGTCTGGTCACGCTGCCCGTGCTAATGGGCTGGGAATGTGCCCGTGCCGCCACTGAGCAATGCTGACCCGGGGGCTTTCACCCCCTCGGTGGGAGCCTGCTGGGCCGTCGGCCTCAGCCATTTCCTGGTCCTGAAGCACTTGTTCGTGTCCTGTTCTGTTGTTTGGTTTGAAGCTCAGGCTTCGTTGGCCCAGAGACCCCGTGGGGGCAAAGGCCTTTTATCTTTCAGAGTTGGCTCTGGGGTGCCCCTGTAGTTAGCCCTGGGCTAAGACGGTTGGGAAGTTGTTTCTTGGCTCAGGCAGCGCTGCCTGGGGCGCACGGACCCTGGCGCTGGTTCGGCCAGCTCTGCCCACAGCGGCGTTCGCTCTTGCACTACTGTCCGCTGCTCTTCTGATGCTGCAGGTTTCCAATAAACATTCAGGTTGTTTAATCTCTTGCGAGGGTCGTTGCTGTCTTATCCAAACGCTCCCACTTTTACCCCTCGATCGTGCTTGTTGGCAGAAGGAAATCGGAGAAGTGGAGCTGGAAAGGACCTCCAGAGATCCTCTAGTACATCCCCTGCCTGAGGCAGGATCACCCCATCCCAACCAAAATGCACGCTTCTGCTTTCTACGGCAAGGGTCTGAGAGTCGTGCAGCTGGCATCAATCACTCCCATAGGCTTCCCTCTGCTGCCAACCCACTCTCCTGCGAGCGGGCACGCGCACGGCGATGACCGATACTGAAAGCAACCCAACTTTCCAAATACACTAACTCCGTCGTGCCCCAGCGAACCGCTGTCCTGCAGTAGAAGTGTCCTTGCCTGCTCCGCTCTGGACGCAGCCCAGAGCAATGCCCGCTCACCAGCCATCTGTCCTAAAGCAGCCGGTGCCCATGGCTGACTTCCCAGCGGGCACGTGCACGGCGATGACCGATTACTGAAAGCGACCCAACTTTCCAAATACACTAACTCCGTCGTGCCCCAGCGAACCGCTGTCCTGCAGTAGAAGTGTCCTTGCCTGCTCCGCTCTGGACGCAGCCCAGAGCAATGCCCGCTCACCAGCCATCTGTCCTAAAGCAGCCGGTGCCCATGGCTGACTTCCCAAAGGATGGAAGTCACATGTAGCCGCCACTCAGCCGCGCGTCTGACCTGTGACAGTGCAGTTCTCCTGCCGCGTTTGAATGGCACTGACTGCTGCCCAGGAAATGCAGAAACAGTGAGTAGACAAACCCCCCAAAGCTACCCGTCCCCTCAGCTCGACTCCCCCCGGCTGGGCTGTCCTGGAAAACGCTGCCGCCGAGGAGCAGGGGTGGAGATGGAGTGGGGGGGATCCTACTGCTCTACTGGATCCTGCTCAGACAGGGTTAGATGGGGTGAAAGCCTTGCTGTCATCTGCCCGACAGTTTGCATTAATGGGCTCCATCTTGCGCACACAGGACTCCTGTGTCGGATCTGGCAGCAGCACTTTGCTGTTCCCAGGGCATGTGGACTTGGCCTTGCCAGGGTTTCTGGTCACGCTGGAAGCGTCTCCATGCAAAGGCAAGGTTGAATGTACCAGGAAACGGGTGTGATCCTAAGGGATATAACCCTGATTATAGCACCGGCATCGTCTCTCCTGGACAACAAGGCAGATTTACCCTCTGGGGTGTTACAGACACCCCTTTTCCCTGGCTAGGCCGTCTGGTTCAGCACGGCCCCAAGTGCTAGCCTGGGATGAGAAAAGTGATCTCTGGCAGCTTCTCCCCGTGGGCTGAATTCACGGGAATGCAGCTGCCCGTGCGGCCGGGCAAAGGCAACGGGAGAGGGTGCAGGGCTGCGAATGCCTCTGGCCCATTCACACCTCCCCGTTTCTCATTAACCAAGCTAGGCCAAAGGGAAGCCCCTGTTGCCAGCAGGCCGGTCAAGCTGGGCCAGAGCAGAGGGTGACGGAGAAGGGCAGCTGAGGGGCGAAGCCCTGGGGAGGCAGCGGCCAAGAGGCATTCGAGCGCCTGCACTCGGAGGGGTCCCTTCGGTCGCAGCCCAGCGAAAAACCGCGTGCGCCAAAAGGCACCTGAGCCACGTCCCTGAAGCCGGGGAGCCGTGTCACTACTGTCCGACAAAGCAGGGCCCAGCGTGATGGCATGGGTCTGTGGCAGGAAGCGGAGGCCGTTGGCCAGTGGACTACAAGAAAGGCTAAGGTGCATTGCCCCTGGCAAGCTATAGTGTGGGCAGGACTCACCGTTTAATCCCAATGCTGAAGGCCCGTCTACACCACCGCAACCAGACCTGGAGCTCTCCCGGCCCTGCCACCGACCTCCTGTGTGGCCAGGGGCAAGTCCCTTTACAGCCCACCCCTACAAGCCAGAGAGGAAACGCTCCAAGGCCAGGCCTGGCTCTCGCCGTGTTTGCGCCGCACCCCGATGGCAGCCGTCCTGCCAGCCTGGTACCCGAGAGCTCAGACGGGGCGGGCGGCGGGGGAGGCACATCTTGTTTCCCTCCGTCAGCCAAGTGCCCTGTGCAGCTGCGGGGCCCGCTGCCTGCGAGCAGGGTTTGGCCAGGTCCCCGCGCATGCCCCTTACTGGGCAGCGTGTCGGCACGGTACGCCCAACTCCTAGGTGGGGGGTCACCGTTTTGGCACCGACCTGGGATGAGGAGGAGAGAGTCGCCCCCTGATCCCCTCTGCTGCCGCTTGTAGCGCCTTGTCTTTCCAGCCCGTGCAGACCCGGCCCCTCTGTGCGCGGCCCCCAACACGCCACTTCCAGGCACGCGTCTGCCCGAATCCTCCCGTCCCCAGCAGCCTGCCTCGTGCCACCCCAGCACGCCACCGAGACCCCCCGCCCCAGCTTCCTGCCATTCCTCCAGAGCCTTTTAATCAATCATCACCCCCGGGGCTTGTGCCAGCACGAGGGAGGTGGTGGACCCGGGCACAGCTCACACCGCTGCGGTTACATATTGCTTGCCCTCCTAGGTCAGGTGGATCGAGTAGGTTTAATGAAGTGCCAAGGTGAAAAGCGGGGTCACTCGCTTCCCGGGCAGAGAGGCAGCATGAAGCCCGGAGGAGTCCCTGCCGGCGAGGGCCCTCTCAGAGATGCCACGAGCGTCGTCGTGCCTGTTTCGGCTCCTGGCACCTCCAGGAAAGGCTGTCCCTGGATTCCCAGCAACTTCTGGGAGGAGGCAAAGAGGCTGCTGGCGCTGGCAGGGCCACTGGTAAGGGCAGCGGCCGGTCAGCACCTGGCTTTCCCGCTGGCTGAGCACTCGCGGGCCCTGTAGAGGTTACGTGGAGCAAAGGGCAAATAGGGGAGAGGCAAAATGGAAGGATTAAACATTCAGAAGGTGCGGGACCGTGATGCCTCCCGAGCCCCTGGCTGGGCACACGAGTGCCAGGACGCTCGCCCAGCAACCAAGAAGGTAAAGACCCCCGGAGAACAGAGTTTCAGTGCTTACGATGGTGTCAGCAAGGGGTGACTTGCCTCGACCAGGGATCCTAGCAAGAGCGGGGCCGAGCTGATAGCAGCCGTGCTGAGAAACTTCTGAACCGCGCCGTACGCGCACGGGGTTGGAGACGGCAGCCTGTCGCGCCCGTGCGAGTCCTGGCTCAGTGCGGTTACTCTAGATTTACGCAGGTGGGGCAGAGACGGGAGTCGGGAGCCCACGCATTTCTGGGTGCTGCATAGCAGCGGTCCTCAGAGGTAGCCATTACGGCGAGCAGAATGGGGATGCAGCTATAACCAGATCACTGCCAATCACCGATTTTGCAATACAGCCACATCCTCGGAGTGGGTCTGGCAGGGAATTTCCAAAGAGAGAAACCCAAGACCCGCCTGACCTAGGGGGATTTGGATCAGCTAGGGTCAGACCTCAGCAAGCCCGCAGGGGTACTACGCACAGCCTTGTTTCCCTTCAGTACAATACACGAAAGCCTGCCCTTTGCGGCCTCTCTGCACATTTGCTCCTCGGATGCCATTTCCTCTGTAGCCTGCAGTCACCACGGCCTGTTTGTTCCCCTCTCCCCTCAATCCAGACCCTGATCCAGCTGCTGGTCTTTATGATCCATATTGTAAGCTCCATCTTCTGCGGGCATCTGGGCAAGGTTGAGCTGGCGGCCGTCACGCTTGCAATCGCTGTAAGTATTCTCGTTCCAAGTCTTTACATAGTTCGCGTTTCACGCCAGCTCCGGCGTCTCCCATACGTTAGTAACGAAGCGGTGGGCAGCTGCTGGCTGAGGAGCTGACAACGGACTGGGACAGGGCCCTTTCCTTCTGCTTTCAAAAGCAGCCTCGGGTGAAAGCTGTGATCACCGGACAGGTACATTTTTGCATCCTCTCACTGTTTTATCCTTCTGTTTCCAGGTTATAAATGTTCTCGGCATCTCCGTGGGGTATGGCTTAACAGCAGCATGCGACACATTAATATCACAGGTAGGGAATAGCTGCTGATCTCCGACATCTTGGCTTTAGAGAGGCCGAGAGCATTAAACGTTAGCTGGATCAGATTAGCTCCCCTATTACGCAGGGCTGTTAAACCGGTGTCCAAAAGCTTCTGAAAGGCTCAGAGCCCCGTTGGCCTTAGACGTTCAGGGCTGGGTAAGTTGTGCCCCTCGGGGTACACGTGGGAGCGGACTCCACCCAGGGGTCGCAAAGAAGGAGTTAACTGATTACCCAAGCACTGGGTCTGAAGTGCCTGGCTGCCCCGAGTGATGGGCAAAGTCCCTTCACGGCTAGATTCGGATCTTCTCCTCTCAGGCACGAACCGAGGCTCACGCCTCTGCATCACGAGGCTGTCATGCTGTCCAGGAGCAGGCACCGAGCCCAGGACTTTGGGATGGAAAGCCTGAGCTTCTCATGGCTCGAGCTAAAGGAGCTGGGTCTGGGCCCTCCAGGCTGGACAAACTCCTGAGCCCCTGTAGAGAGTCTGCCACCAGAAGGGAACAAGGGCTCTTAAAGGGGGTCTCCCGTGCCTTGCAAAGCCCCCCTTCCACATGCTTTTCACGATGCTGAAGGACCCCTGTGCTGCAGCGGGCACTGGCTGGCACCTCACTCCGTGCGTGGCTCTGCCGTTGCTCCAGGCAGGCTGCTTCCCTGCGGCCGGCGCGGTCAGGCATGGCTTTTTCAAGGGCGCGACATTAACTCCTGGGCTTGGCCCTCTTGCTCTGCAGACGTACGGCGGCAAGAACATGAAGCGGGTGGGCACCATCCTGCAGCGCGGCATCCTCATCGTGCTGCTCTGCTGCTTCCCCTGCTGGGCTGTCTTCATCAACACCGAGCAGATCCTGCTGCTGGTCCGCCAGGACCCGGAGGTCTCCAGGTCGGGTGCCAAGTCCAGCCGGGGCGGGCACAGGATGCAGCCGCAAGCTCTGCAGGAGACCGAGGCCGCGCCTGCCTGCAGTTACCTGCCGGGCTTTGCCCCCGGCCAGGCCGGCAGGGCCCTCCCTTCACCCCATTGGCTGGGCTCTGCCCCAGCCAGGCTGGCAGGATTCTCCCTTCACCCCATTGGCTGGGCTTTGTTCTCTGCCAGGCTGACAGAGCTTTTCTTTCACCCCATTGGCTGGGCTCTGCCCTCAGCCAAGTGGGCACAGCTTCCCCCATCGCCCCATTGGCTAGGCTCTGCCCTCCACCAGGCCAGCGGTGCTGCCTCATTGGCTGGGCCATGCCCTTAGCGATGCCAATGCGGCACCCCTTTCCCTCACGGCTGGGCCCAGCCGTCGGCGTGAGCAGGGTGGCACGGACGTGCCCCGTGGCACAGCACAGCCCTGAACCTGGCTGCTGCCGGGAGGCAAACTGCCTCGCTGCCGCCGCGACACGATAAAGCACAGCCCGCGCTGCCCAGCCCACCCCGGCATCACCGGGCGGCCGCCGGCCTCTTCCCGCACGGGGCCGAAACGCTGGGTGAGGAGGGAGAACGGCCCTGCCGTGCCCCGGCCGGGGGGGGAGGCTTGCACAGGCCCTCGATGGCTGAATGACGGTGCTTTGTGTCTCCCCCCAGGTTAACGCAGGTTTACGTGATGGTTTTCGTCCCAGCTCTTCCCGTAAGTCCCTCTCCCCGCGGCTTCTTGGGGAGGGAAGCAGACAGGAAAGCGGCCCCTTCGGCGCCTGGAGCCCAGCAAAGCTGCGCGCTCTGGTCCCCCGGACGCGACGCCTCCCTCCCCTCAGGAGGGTTCAGACGCCACCACGTCTCGGGGCCAACCTGGCAGGAGGCAGCTGATGCCTGGACCGGGCCGGCGGCCAGAGGGAAGACTAGATTTCCCCCAAAGATATCTGTTACACCTCAGCCCGACCTCATGCACCAACTCCCTTATTTTGCAGGTGGCTTTTCTGTACCAGCTGGAGACACGATATCTGCAGAATCAGGTAGGCTGCAGTCGCGGACAGGGAGGCGAGGGGGAAGGGATCTCATCCCGTGAGACCGCCGAGGGTCTCTCTCGGTAACCCACCTCCGGCTCGGGGCCGTGTTGCAGCATAAAAGACGCGCGTCCGGCAGCGCCCATAACACGCACACAACAGCAGGCATTTTTGGCCGGTGTTTGGCCAGCTCTAGGTCTGTTCCCCCATTGCAAGAAAGGCTCTCGCACACGTGGTTTCCGTTAGACTCAATGCAAGTAGCAAACCATAGAGGTTTTTAACTAATTAACTAATTTCTTCTTTGGCGATGCTGGAACCGCCGGTTAGCTGCACGGCGCTTCATGTCCAGGACATCGCGTTCAGTAGCGAGAGCAGCTATTGCTCTCTTGGCCCTGTCGCTCCTTCGAAGCCGTCTAGGAACCATGGCATTTGCACACGTATTAGTGTACGAGTCCCAGCGAAATCGCACTTCTCATATTTGTTTCACCGCAGAGGATCATTTGGCCCGAGGTGCTCAGCGGCATTGTTGGAAACATCATAAATGCGATTGCAAACTACATCTTCCTCTACATGATGGACCTCGGAGTCACGTGAGTAGCGTCTGGAAGCGATTAGACCTCCGAACGACGGCGTGAGCCTGAAACGGGTCCGAAATCCCCAAACTCCCACTGCGCCCGAGGCCACAGGCTGTAGCTCTCAGATGCATAATGGTGGGAGCCCAGCTTCAGGCATCTTCAAAAGGACCTGCTTTTGAGCGGACAAGTGCCCCGCACTTCCAGAAAACCAGGCCCTTTTAAAGGCATCCGAGCTGGGCGCCAAAATACCCAAATCCTGACCTAAAACCGAGAGCAAAGAACAGCTTCTGCTAGTTCAGGTTCAGGCAGTCTGTGGGAGACACTGAGCACTAGTTAGTCTCGACTGAGTATTTTACCCAGGGAAACCTGATGGGAAAATGCCCACCGTCCAGCTGGGATTCAACCACGGCACAAGGCTTGTGCTGTAGTACAGGACTCTGCAGGATCCAGTGCAGCGCAGGGAGCTGTAGGAAGCCCAGCTGGAGGCAGCGCAGGATTAGCCCTCGCCGCCCTGAGCCCTGCTGTGTCCACTCCAGCTCCTAGCCCTTTAAAGGACTAATTCCCTTCAGCGGGAGGCAAACGCCAGAGCATCTAGTCTGCACACGCGCCGCGGGCAGGACCGTTCGCCAGGCAGCACCCTCAGCCCGGGGGGAGCAGGGCAAGAGCTGACCCTGAAGCGCGCGCGGGCTGCCGGCAAGAAACAGAAGGTCCCTCGCGGTCTCTCTTCCCCAGGGGCTCTGCCTTGGCGAACACCATCGCTCAGTACGCACAAGCCATCTTCCTGTTCCTGTACATCGTCGGGAAGAAGCTCCACGTGGAGACCTGGGGAGGTGCGGTGCCTGTAAAAGCCTCACTGCTTCCCCCGGGCTGCCCTGAAACTCCCACCCTTGCCCCCGACAGGTCCCTCCTAGC